GTTTGCTTTCCAAAAAAGGCAAGCATGCACATGAACCTGGTATAATTTTCAAGCTGCTGAGTCTGGGACTTGAACCATGGTTGGCCATGTGGAAGTCCAGCGTCTTACCCACCATACCACCTGCTGGCTTCAAAGAAAGATGTTTTTTAAAGAACATCGGAAATGAGGCTCAGGAGAGAAGATGGAAGATCATCTTGAACAGGAGGACGAGAATGTATAAAAGCACTTTATCCAAAAGGTTGAACTTGAACACATGAGATAGTCAAAGCATAAATTATTAAATTTGGAATTTGGTGAAATAAATTTACGAAAGGGAAAAAAAGAAACAGTTTTTATACTGAAGTCTTCTTCCTATTATTATTTTATAATTGGGTTCTAAATAATTGGGTGCTATATTGAAATGAAATAAATCACTCACATCATATGTATGAGTTTTATTAAGTAGAATTTTTTACTCTTAATGATAAGGAAATTTTTTTCAAAATTCCAGAAAGTCACAATAAATTCCTGGTGAAGTAGGTTTCTTTCCAGACAATGATCCTTCCTGTTGTTTGCTTTCCAAAAAAGCTCACTTATTTCAGCTTGACAAAATGTATTTTATTTCCTGATTACAGACAGATAAATAAATGGATCCTCTTTTGAGTCACAAGTTGAATTAAGTGAAAGTTCTTTACTGAGAGCACATATCTTTTTCATTTTCATATGGAAACTGTGCCTATGTCTTCATTTATATATTACCAATGCTAGCATGGTATCTATATAATAGTTTCTCAATAAACATTCTGTGAATTGAACTGAATTAGGAAATATTGACTGATGGTTCTAATTGCCTGCTCATTCATCATCCATTCTTTCTTTTCTTTTATACATGATCTACCTGGTGGGCAACAATGTATTCAATTAAAATATTCAATCTCCTGCCCTTCCAATGAGAAATGAGTAAAAACCACTTCCTGGGACTTCTTGGAAATATCTTTAAAAGGACTTACTATCTTTCACTTTTCCATGTTTTCCTGCCTGAAGTAAGGATGTAATTTTTGGTGGTGGAGCTGCCATTTTAAGATTATGAAGGTTGATCACATGGGAAGGATGATAGAGCCAGAGCTGGAGAAAAATCCCAGTATTCAATATTTTCTTCAAGTAGTCCGTCCAGTCTAAACTGTACACTCTTAGACCTCTATTTCATTAGGTCTCTGAAAAAGGTTTCTGTTATACAAAAACAAAGGGAGTTGTACATGTAGATTTTCCCATTCTCTCTAGAGTAGTACTTCTTAAATGAAGGAGGAGTTGACAATGGAGAATCACTGAAGTAGGTTTTCACCTTCTCTACCCCATTCTGATATATGCCCTGTAGAAAAAGAATTACTGTCCCTTTCACCTGGGTAAAAATTGCTGTCATAATGAGCCATGTTACTGCTTGGAATGTCACTTCCCTCAGATGTATTAGGACACTCAAGAAAAAAGGTTAGAGACCTTCCTCTAGGAAAGCCCATAATAACTTAACTACTTTGAAGTCCTAAAGATTTGGAATTTCAATGAAGTCAGTAGTTATAAAACAGGCTAAAATAAGTATGCCTAAGGCATTTTAGAATCCACCTACATAACAGCATCAGAAGATACTAACAATTTTATCTTTTTAAAAAATTATTTATTTAATTGTATTATTATTATCTTTTAATTTGCTATAGGGCATGTGCATTTGAGAGAGAGAGAGAGAATGAGAAAACAAACCATCTGGTTTGGGACTCGAACCCTGGTCAGCCATGTGGTAGTCCAGTGCCTTAACTACCAAGCCACCTGCTGGTTCCACAATTTTCTTTCTTTCTTTTGTTTTCTTTTTTTTTTTTTAATTGTTGTGATCCTCTTACCTCAGCCTCCCAGCTGGAACTGTTGGTGTGTGTTACCACATTTTCAGCTATTTCAAACAGGGTTTCCCTATGTTGCCCTGAGGCCAGCCTCAAGCTCCAATCCTAGACCAGCCTTCTGAGTCCTCAGTGGATTATAGATACCCCATGAATCCTACTTTTAGCTTTTAGTATAATCGACCAATGAAAATATTGCTTCCTCTGCACATTAATCAGTTATCTCATTGCTTCAGATGTGTCTCTTCTCCAGACAAAACATATCCAGGTCCTTCAAAATCTGTAATATGTAGGGATCTTGGGAACCTTCTACCATTCTCCTAATTTTTTTTCTGGACACTATTCTGTCAGTCTCTCTTATAAGGAATCAGACTCTTTTGCTGCTAGCACAGTCTTGTGAACATGCAGTGCTCAGAGACCAGGACCCAGGTGATTAGAAGGCTGAATGACTATGACAGAAACTTAAGTTCATCATGAATATTTTGGTTTCTTATGGCAATGTTGGTTCATGTTTATTTTATAGTTAACTCAAACCATCACAACATCTTCCTATGAATTATGACTAAGTCAAATCTCCCCTATACTGTACTCACGCTTTTGAAGTTCTATATTTAAATACTGGACTTTAATTCATTTTTATTAATTTTTTAAATGTGCACCAAAACAATTTTTATTTCTAGTATTTAACTGAGTATGCACACAGACTTGACACCAGTTTGGCTGTCCTCATGCAGAATTATCTTCTTGCATTTCTATTAAATTGTATTTCATCATCTGGACCGTTATTACATTATTTTTCTTTTTTACCTTGATTCTGTTATCTCTAAGGTTAGCTATCTTTCCCAATCTTACATTATGAGTAACTCAAATAACCGTGTACTTTATGTACCGATAGAAATGTTAAACTAAACAAAGTCAAATAAAAAACCCAACAATACTATAATTGGAAAAGTTAGTTTCAACCTGCTAACTTTACATTTTTAATTCAATTCATTGAATGCTTCCATAAATTTTAATAAATGCATTATTTTGGGACAGGTGTTGAGACGAAAAAATTAAACCATCTCAGTTAGCGAACCAGGAAAGATAAGTGTTACTGGGTAAATGCAGCCCATAGGTCCGCCGCTGGAGTGCATGAGTCAGAGTGAAGCCACAGAAGAGGGTGTAATAGCTCACCTGGGAGAAGCAGGTAGGACCTCACATGGCATGAATTCGAAGGTATACTCAGGGGCTTGATCAAACATGTGCTGAGATTACTATAAATTAAATCAATAGATGTTCCAAGCTTGGAACGATATACAAACTCAGAGTGGAAGGAGTTTGTCATGATCTGGCCATAGTGATCACATTTTAGTTCCTATTGGTTGTTTGTCTTTGTGCCCTAGAGCAACGTATTAAAACTGCATAACAAAGTCAATCCGGTGGCTTAGTGGTTAAGGGAGCCAGATCCTGCACCGATGATTGCGCTGTTCAATGCTGTTCAAATCCCAGCTCCAGCAGGTTGAGAAACGCACTGGAGCAGGTGTGTGTGCCCCAAATCCTAACAGGATGAAGAAATGGAGAGGGCAGGATTGTGCTGTGGCCATGCCCCATTGCAGGTACTTTCTCAGTTTTCCTCTCTCTGTCTTCTCTGGTGAACATGTGTGTCCTATGGCAAATTGAACACACACACGCACACATACACACACACACAAACCCACCCCCAAATACTCCACAGCATCCTTCTGATCTAAGATAAAGTAGTACACTTATATACATAGTCCTGATAATCTTGTTTTAAGCCGTGAACATTGTAATGTTTACCAGCTAATTTGCCTGGTGTACTTTTCTGATCCCTAGCTCTGTGGTAGGAGATGTCGCACTTACATATCCTCACAGCACTATAATGGCTTCCCCCCACTTCTTTTACTCTTCTTGTCCCTTAGTGGGAGCCACATTAGTTTTCAAGTGGAGGTCCAGAAGCCTCTCCAACTTCTGGACAGTTCTATATGCTTAACCTCAGTGATGACCTTAGTCATGTAGTGCAGAGCTGCTGGGATGTGGACATCCCAGTGAGTCTGCGACCTTTGGAGTTTTTTGTTGATTCAGTGTTTTCCTCATGCAGTATTTATATATATATTTGCTAGTATTATAGAACTTTCCAAATATTTTAATCTTTATTATTAAAGTGTTTTTATATCCACTAGGTACAAAACCATGCATTGGATATTGTGAAAGTAGATACAATGATTAATAAGAACTGGTCCTGGTCATGAAAGGAACTGATGATCCAATGGGGGAGGTAAAATTGCATGTGTCTAATACAAGGAAGTGGCTATTCCGGTTTGCAAGGGTTTGGGCTATACATGTACAATGCTAACACAGTCAGTTAAATGCGCTTTTAAAGTCTATTCACCGAGGTGAAAAAAAGAATATAAACTGATTTGTCATCCTCTCCCCCACTTACAACAAAAACAAATTATTTTTTGTTTTAACTGGGTTTGTGGTTAAATCCCACAGCCCAAGAGATTTACCTCTTCAGATGAACTCCATACTTTCGAACTTAAGTCTGGAAAATACTTGTGTTTATTCATCCAATGAACCAAAGGATTGTTAACTTTTCTAGAACAAAAGAGAAAAATTATTTCCTTATTTTGGTAGCAATATTCAGTTGCACTTCTTTACTTTCCACTCAAGAAAATTATTTCAGAAAGTTGATCATAGTTGTCAAAAATTTAGTTTGATTAATAAAAAGTATAGAACCAAAGAAGTTATACTGTCTTCCTTTTTTTAAAAAAAGTCTCTTCAAAATAAAGGACCTTTTCCTTTGTCTTGTAAGAGAAAACGTAACTTCTATTTAGAATTGGAAATATGTTTTTTTAAAAATGGGGAAAGTAAATTCACATTACTTATTCACCCAGTTTATAGTGGTTATACATTCAATTAAAAAGCTAGCTTATAATTTTCTACTTCCTCTCCTCCTCTCCCCATCCTGTTTTTTTTTTTTCTCTCTTTTCCACTGGACTTTAACTCTGCAATGAACATTATCTTATTTAGCCTTTTGTAGTTGAAGACTAGGAAAAGCCTGCATTTTACAGTCTTGGAAGTGTCCTATTTTTTTTCAGGAGCATAGTTTTAGCACTGAGCTTCTGAAGGGGTTAATACTGGGACTTGGCTGGGTGTCAGTTAAAACTTTTTTCCCTGGCTGTGCCCTGGGTTTCCCCTTGAAGGGATTTCCCTCCGCCTCTGCAACAAGACCCTTTATAAAGAGGAGACTTTCTATTTCACTCCTCACTGAGGCTCACAGGCATTAGGAACGGAAGATTCTTCCCAGACACTTCCACGTGGGGCAAAAATACGGATTTTGGAACCATATTTTCTTCAGAGCAGCAACTTTAAATGCCTAGGAAGATGGTCATGATCTTTGGAACTTCAAATATACTTTGGATAGTGTTTGCAGCTTGTAAGTGCTTGTCCTTGATCTATTTAAAATGTTAGCATTCCATTTTAGCCCTGGTTTTGCTTCAATCCGTTTTATTATGCTTGTGAAGAAAAGCACTAGGATGTTAAACAGTAAGAAAACTTTAAATGCGCTGTTAGGTTTTGCTTCATACATACCACTCGTACTTTCAGTTAGAGCTGCAAATTGATCTTTTTGGACACCTATTATCCAATGTCAAATAAGTAGTTCGAGTTCTATTTCTAGTAGGTCTATCTCTTCAGTTTCCTGTACTTGACAGTGAATCAGAGTTAGCAAATTTCAAAGTGATTTTGATAAATGGGCTCAGGGTTGGAAGTGAGAGTTCTTCTAAGTGAAGGTGGTTCCAACACCTCCTTTGGCAGAGACTGAAGGGATTTTTGGCTGCCTTGCAGTTAGTTTGAAGCAGTTTAGGAGAGATCAGCCAGATTATTTCGGACATATTAGAACAGAGATGAGAGTGTAGAATACTGAGTAAACCAATTGTAAGATTGCTTTTCTTTTTTGTTTTCGTAGCTCAAGCTTTTAAAATTGAGACCTCCCCTGAATCCAGAATTCTTGCTCAGGTTGGTGACTCTGTGTCACTGACTTGTAGTACCATGGACTGTGAGTCCCCACGTTTCTCTTGGAGAACTCAGATAGACAGTCCACTGAATGGGAAGGTGAAGACTGAGGGGACCAAATCCACGCTGATCATGAATCCTGTTGGTTTCGAGAACGAACATTCTTACCTATGCACAGCAACCTGTGGATCGAGAAAACTGGAAAAAGGAATCCAGGTGGAGATTTACTGTGAGTGCTTTTGAAAATCATTGATTTTTCTCTCAATTTTGCTTTAAAAGTTTCCTTAAAAAGAATATCTTTAAAGAATAAGTTTTTTTTTTTTAGAGGTTTTTGCTATAGGGCGCGTGCACTCACCAGACAGAGAGAGACAGAGAGATAGAAAGTGAGAAATTACCCCCCCGGGGGGATGGCCATGCCACAATCCCTTCTCTTCCATTCTCCTCTTGGAATCTTGGGCACACATGCACACGTGCCCAGCGTGAGTCTTAAGCCACCGGGTCCGGGACGCGAACCATGGTCGACTACATGGGAGTCCAGCGACATAGCCATTATGCTAACTGCTGGTCTCAAAGAACAAGTTCTTTTAAAGAATTATTTATCGAACTTTATTTCTTTTAATTTGACCAGAGAGGGACAGAGAGAGAGGAAAAGCAAGAAAGCAAGCTGCTGGGTCTGGGATTCTAACCGTGGTTGGTCATATGGGAGTCAACACTCCCAACCACCACACCACCTGCTGGCCCCAAAGAACAATTTTTTAAAAGAGTGCTCACATCCAGATTTTTGGTTAACAAATATATAGCATTAAGAAAGCCAGAGACAGGTGAGCTAGCTGAGGCTAGCGCTAGGCCAGATACCTAAATCTTGTTTTCTATTTCCATCTCTTCCACAAACACGGTACTCATATATAAGAAACAACCTCTCTGGGTTCTGATTTCTTTAGCAATAAAATAAAAATCTCTAAGGTTCTTTTTAATTTATTTTATTTTTAAAATTTCTATTTGATGATAACTTCACATGTTTTTACCTGGTCATGCATGTCAGTAATTTATTACTCCTCTCCTGAGATTTTTCACTCATGCATTCTTATGCAATTTGGAACTTAAAATGAGTTTAAAGATTAAGGAAAAGATCTACAACTTAATAATAGCTTTCATTATAAAAGTTTTCCTTAAGCATAATAAAAAAAAAAAAACTTCTGCAAACATTTCACTCATTTGACTTTGATTTAGATAAATCTAGGATTATCGTTTTTTTATTGCCATGAAGTCTTGTTGCTCAACCTTAAAGAGATTTGTATGAGATTTGCATCTTGAATGTAAATAGTAGCTTACCAGCCTACCCAAATGCATTGCACTCCATTCTCAATTCAGCAAATAAAGTTAGTAAGGATAACAGAAACTAATCTGACCTAAATTATTTGCCTTAGATTACTGATGGCCTTGTTTTCTAAAAAGCTACATCCACTTACGGTCATTTCTTCATGAAGACCTCATTTGATTATTCTATAACTACACTGATTCCTCTCTACTGTACTGGGGCCCAACTTTGCCCGGTAACCTTAGCTATTCTTGAACAAGCCTCTGTGTTGCTAAAGCTTCCCAAGACATTGTGCCTAGCCGGCTGCTTTCAATTATGCTGGCAGTATGTGCATAGTTTATGTCTGTACAGCCTCCTGAGTGCCTTGAAATGTTCTCTTATATAAATACTGGGGAAAAGTAGCAAGTTCTTATATTACCTGACCTTAAACTGTACAGATCATGCACATTTCTTACAGACAATAAAGAATAGAAATTATTGGTGGGAAAAAAACACACACAAAAACACCAAAAACAAAACACTGTGCTTGTTATTCACATAGCAAAGCAATTCCACTTCCTCCCTCCCCCCCCCCAAAAAAAAACCAAATAGTTAAAGGTTTTAAAAAGAGAAACAAAAATCCTTCTGGCTTTAATTACCTGCCTGAAGTTTTTCTCCAAGAATGTCTGTTTCTCATTATGTTTAACAGTTCTGTCTCCATTCCACATTGGATCATAATATTCTTTAGAGTTAGGACCTTTGTTTCCCTCTTACTACCCAGAGGCTTAAATTCGCCAATGGGTTACCATGATAGAGTGTAATAAAGAAGATGACACTTGCAAAGGAGGCCTCGACCAGTTGATTTAGTGTGCTCCTTTGTACTGAAGGTTCAGTGGCATACTGGTTGGGACATGGAGTTAGGCATTTCAGGAGGCAAATTTGCCTTCCGGAATTGAAAAAGTGTATGGGTATACTTCTCTCATGGATAAATTCCTGTTAGAGGTACCATTTCTGGAGCAATTATTTAATGTAGTTCTTTCTCTTCCTTTTCTTTTCTTCTTTTAAAGTGTATTCCATGAGTGAGAGAGAGATCCAGCACCTCTGACAGGTCTTGGCTTTGTGGTCCATGCTTAGCTTCAGCCAGCCTAGATCATGGGCACACGTGTGCCTGGCATAATTCAGGGAGTCCCTCTGATGTGAACCGGCAAGCTTGCATGTGGGTCTGCCTCACGGTGTTATGTTTGACTGCTGTACTGCCATCTGGTCCTCATCTTTTCATTTCTTAGCACATTTTGCCTAATAACTGTTCTTTGCTAAGGCATTCTGAGTTTTAGATTCCTTATCAGTAAAATGGAACTATATCTGTCTAAACATTAAAGAATGTGATCTAACATAAATCTGCAGTAGTAACACGGTGTAATAGAAAGTCTGAGTTTAAATCTCAGCTGCATTATTTACTATCTGTGCAACCTTGGGCAAGTGAACTAAGTACAAGTTTTCTTATCTGTGAAATGTGGTCTCTATAATGAAGGATTATTGAATATAATAAAATAATTTTTGTTAAATCTATAGCACAGTGACAGGCCATGTAAGTTTGTTCTCTCTTCATTTGCTCTAACATGCAGCATTTAATTCCTATAAGATCGGACCTAGAGAATCCTCTCAAAGGTGGTAGATTCTATTTCTTGCTTGTCAAACTCCTCCACAACCATGAAAGGCTTCCTAAACAATTCTGCTGTACTAAGACTGTATCAAGAAAACCATTAGTCTTGTTTTGTGTCGTGTTAAAACAGCAAGAGATCTTTTGCAGTGTGAGCAGAAAGCCCATTCAGGTATTTTTTTTTGGCCTTTACAGCTTTCCCTAAGGATCCAGAGATTCATCTGAGTGGACCTCTGGAAGCTGGGAAGCCAATTACTGTCAAATGTATAGTTCGGGATGTATACCCATTTGACAGGCTGGAGATGGATTTGCTGAAAGGCAACAATCTCATGAAGAATCAGGACTTTGCAGAGGATATGGACAAGAAGTCCCTGGAAACCAAGAGTTTGGAAGTAACTTTTACTCCTGTCATTGAGGATATTGGAAAAGCTCTTGTTTGCCGAGCTCAATTACACATCAGTGAAACTGATTCTGACCCCAAGGAAAAGATGACTACGAAACAATTGCAAGTCTACAGTAAGTACTTGATGTAGTCTAATCTTTATGGGTATTCAGTCTTGGATGTGCATAGAAATAAGCTTAGCAACTGAGTCAACAAGAAATTTGTTCATATTTTACTGTTTTTATTCATTGAAATTTTGTTTGCCAACAGCATAATTCAATGAAAAAAAAACACACACACTGAATGTGAATTAAGATTTGAGCTTAATTTCTGGCTTCATTTGTTATGTGAGTTTGTGCTACTTAATTTCTCTATTTCCCAGTTTATCAAGGGGAAATAATACCATCTAATTTGGTAATGAGCCTATTTAGGCTCAAATGACAAAGTGTTTTAAATCATGTTTTATAAACTGTCATAATATGCCTTATAATATTAGTTGCACCAGAATAGAAACTTGACAAGATGTATGTTTATTCTGTGTGTGTGTGTGTGTGCATATGCATGAACATACATATGCTCACATACACGCATTGGGTTAGAAAAAGGTGCTATAGTTCGATTGCTTCCCTTCTCCATGAGACTGCCAGGGCATTTGAGAGTCTTGTAGTCCCTGTTTCTCATGAAAACACTGTGTTCTTCCCTGGGCACCACATTTACAAGGAGTATATCACCAACTATAGCATGCTTAGCTGAAAGACAATGAGGTGGAGAAGTTTTAAGCAATATTTTGTAAAGAATAGTCAAGATAGAGAATTTTTTTCTTTTTTTTTTACATTGCTATTAGGCACATGTGCTCCCCAGAGAAAGACAGAAAGGGAGGGAGAGAGAGAAAGTGAGAAAGCACCTTCCAGAGGGGATGACCATGTGGCAATCTCTTCTCCTTCGCTGTCCTCTGAGATTTGGGGGTAGGCAGGCATACTGACCCAGTGTGTTTTTCAAGTCACTGGGTCTGGGACTTGAACCACAAAGTTGGCCTGGTGGAATCCAGCTGCTTTAACCATCATACCACCTGGGTGGCCTCACTAGGAGATTTTTTTTTTTAATAGAGGATACAAAACCTAAGATACAAAAGAGAGCTCTAAGATTTGAAAGAGTTGTGTGAAAGAAGGATTTAGTTTATTCTGTAACAGCAGAGACTGAACTATGACCAAAGTATGAAAAAGAGGTTTTCAGCACCATCAGGGAAAATGTCCTCATAATTAGAATTGTCCAAAAATAAAACAGACTATTTTATAAAACAATGAGTTACCTCTTTTAGTGAATGTTGAAGATGATGTGGACAAAAATTTGGCAAGGATACTTAGACATGACCTACCCTTGGGTGGGGGATAAAACCACATGATTCTAAGGGCCTTTTTTTTTTTTTTTTTTTGAGAGAGATTTTCACTATAGGGTGCGTGCGCTCGCCAGACAGACAGAGAGAGACATTAGAGACAGAAAGCGAGAAATCACCCCCAGGGGGGATGGTCACGCCGCAATCCCTTCTCCTCCATTCTCCTCTCGGGATCTTGGGCACGCACGCACACGCGCCCGGCGTGAGTTTTAAGCCACCGGGTCCGGGACGCGAACCGCGGTCGACCACGTGGGAGTCCAGCGACATAGCCATTACGCTAACTGCTGGTTCCCCTAAGGGCCTTTTTTAATTCCTGAATATCTGTGGCCATCTGAAAACCACCAAATATCAGAAAAGTAACTCAATCAAGTTAGACAGAAACTGGATTTACTTTTTTTTTTTTTTTTTTTTTTGTAGGTTTTTTGCGTTTTGGT